TCATGTTATGTGAATTTCTCTCAATAAAAAAAAGGAAAAGAGCTGGCGCGTTAGCTCACTCGGTTAGAGCGTGGTGCTGATAACACTAAGGTCAAGGGTTCGGATCCCTGTACTGTCCACCCACCAAAACAAAACAAAGAAAGAAAAATAAAAAGGAGAACAGCAAGAGTTAGACAAGGACACACACACACGACCCTCCACCCCTCCCCATCTTCCCACACCAGCCCCCAGCCCATCCCCTCCCACCACCTTGCACCTGTTCAGAATTTATTGAGGCTGGCTGGTTAGCTGAACTGGTTAGAGTGTGGTCTTCCAACACCAAGGTCAAGGATTCGGACCCCCTTACCAGCCAGCCACCAAAAGAACCCCAGAAGTGCTCACCAGGCACTGGGACCTGTGCCTACCCGGGCCACATCGTTTGGGCTCCCCAAACACACCACCCTCGGAGATCCAAACCACAATCCCTGACATGGGCTGGGAACAGCATTCCGAGCTGCCTAGGGGCCCTGCCCTGTTTGGCCTGAGAGACAGGTCAGCCTTCCCTCCCCTACCCTCAGGGGGAGTGAACAGAATGGGGGAAAAGAGAAAAAAGAAGGCAAATTTCTGGCCCAGAGCCACAGGCAAGGAGCCAGATGGCACGGAGTCAACGAGAGCAGACTTTTGTGCTTCCTCAGTGCCCAGGTGGACCAAGGGGCCACAGGGCTGTGGAACTAGAGCTGGGGGGGGTGTCCCCAGCCCTGCTGTGGCCTGGGTCTTGGGGTCGGTGGAGCGGAACCCCTTCGGGTCAGGGGGCTCTCAGGGCTGAAAGATCAGGCTCCATTCTCCTCTTACCCCCTCTCCTGCTTAAACCTGGGAGTTTCCTGGAAATAACTCACCAGGCGAGCTGCATGGGACAGGATGGGCCGCTGGCAGCACAGAGCGAACCCTGCTTGAAGGAACAAAGAGAAATGAGGCACCTGCGTGCTCACGCAGGACGGCCGTTTGTCACTGGGACTGCTTTGGTGCACACATGACAAAAGCTGTGGCTGAGAATACAAAGCTCAGGTTAGTGAGCTGGTTTGAGCAGACGGGGAACCCCCAACTCTGGCCCATCCCACTCTCAGGTGGCTCGGGCCCTCTGCTCCATTTGTGGCAGCTGGTCTGCAAGGAGAGTCCCAATGAACTGGGCCTCCGGGTGTTCATGCCCTTTTGTGGTCCCCACCCCCCAAGATACACACACACACACAGAGGATCTGGACTGACCTGGGACTTTGGACAGAACACAGCTGAAGTGATGCTGGTCTGGCGGCTTCTGCTTTGCACAGTGGGGAGCCCTGAGTCACCATGGAAGGAGAGTGGCCACCCTGCTTGGGAGGCCATGTGGAGAGGCCCCGCTGTCCAAGCTACCTCCCCAGGCCCCAAACGTGACAGAGACATTCCGATAGTGATGTTCAGCCAGCCCAGCCCCCAGATGATGGCAGCCATCACCATGTGGAACTCAACCATCCCAGAACCATGACAAAGAATACCACGGCAGGTGTTTGGAGCCACCAGGTGTGGGGTGGTTTGCTCCACTGAGAACCGAGAACCAAAAGGACATCCCAGGGAGCTCCAGATCCCAGACATCCATTTAGGTGGCGTGTGGCACCTGTGGCTGGCCTCACAGCCTGGCACACACGTGCCTGCAACGCCCCCTGGCCCACCTCCACTGACTGTGCCTGAGCAAAAGTTAAAGGAGAAAAACCTAAAAACAAGAAAATCCTGCTTTCTCATATAACTTCTTCCTACCAACCGGAAGCAGCCTAGCCTCTGCAGCAGGACACCTCGGCCCAGCGCAGGAAGCATCCAGAGGGGGCTGAGTGGCTGAGCAGAGGGAAGGCCTCAGAGCCCCGGAGGCGAGGCATCCTCTGCCTCACTTTCGGTCAAGACCCCCCACCCCCACCCTGGCTACAGCATCATCTCCCCCTGCAGAGAACTCAGCCGCCAACACACTGCCCAAGTGGCTCTCACATTATCCACCTGCCCTTACCATCCCAGGGACAGCCCCTACATCCCGGGCCTGCTGCAACAATTCAAATTAGCTAATCCTAAACCTGTTTGCCCTGCCTCGCCCATTCCTTCTCGCAGAAACCGCAATAAAGGCTCCTGCCCACGTTCCCTCCCCTGTTCCCTCCGGTGCTTCCCCGCGGCCATGAGAGCACCTTTCCTCTTGGGAATCTGAGTAATAAGTTGTCTTTCCAAAGCCTATTGTTTTGTTTCCTAACCTTCTGGCCTCACCCTACTTGGATAATAAAATCTACATTTTAAAACAGGGTGGAACTGGGACCAACCCAGGAAGCCCAGCTTCCTCCTCACAGAGGAGGAGGAGGAGGATGGATGGGGTCCCCCCCCCCCCCCGTGAATGGGGGATGGGGAAGCACTGCCTGAGCTCTGCTCTCCTTCCAAGAAGCCCGATGTTATTAGACCATCTCACCACCCCAGACCCCTATCCCTGCTTCCAGGAAGCAAGTGACAAAGTAGCTGTGCCCAGGGGTGGGTCCCCAAGTCCCACCTTCTCTGGGCTGGGCACTCCGCCGTGGAGGAGGAGCTGCAGCAAGGACCCCAGCTGCCCAGGCTGAGGGAGACAGAGGACCGGAGACAGGCAGAGGACATGAAGCGACTTTAATCATCACCCTCAAACAGAGGCAGCAGGAGTGTCTGCACGGGGGCCCTTCCACCCTCTGGGAGTGGCCTGGGGCCAGCCCCTCCGTTCTAGCTGCAGTGTGTTCCCCATCCATGCTCCTTGCATCCAGGAGGGGTGTCCAGGGACTCCCTACTTCCAGGGCCACACCTGCAGGAGCTCGGGTCCGAGGTTCTACATGGCCAGAAGAGCCGGGGTCTCTAAGGGTGTGTGTTCCAGCAGCTGCCTGCACATCTCCATCCACCACTCTCCTCTCACTGGGCTGCACTCGGGGTCAAGGTGGAGTGGTGGCAAGACTCCGTCCTCAGAGCAGCGAGCTCTTCCGCTCTGACAGCAACAGGGACTCCTTCACAGTGACCAGCAGCCCCAGCGGGGGCAAGTACCCCTGGGCTCGGAGCCTTAACAACACCAGGAAGATGGCAGCAACCAGGATTGTGCTCAGCACCACTGTGGGGGACAGACAGACATGCGAGTTGGGGGGAGCTCCTAATATGCAGGGATGAGTGGCCTGCACCCTGCCCCCTCGCAGAACCCTGGCTCCCAGAAGCAGCCACTCCAAGCCCCTAGCATAGAAGAGCCTGCCCATCTTACCAGCAGCTGCAACAACCACGTAAGCACTTGGGATTCCAGACTGGTCCCCAAAAGATGAGGCTGCAGCATTCCTGAGAGAGGTGACATTCTCCAGCGTCACAGGGGTCCCCATGGTTATGGTACTCCCTCCCTGGAGGGTCTTGCTGGTTTCTGCAACAAGCACAGGAATTCTGTACCTAAGGAGCAGGCACCCACCACACGGGGGCATGCACAGGGGCTTCACAGGTGCCCAGGAGCCCTTGGAGTTGGTGAGAACTGCTGTCCCTAATGATGCCGTGCCGCCCCACCGGGTATGCAGACACGAGCAGATGCACATGTCCACACCCCCAGGCTGCTCACACTGGCAGGGATCAGGCATCCTATTCTAACCACCAGTCCTCCCTACCCCCACAGGTACGCACCGCAGCCAAGCTCGTCACTGGAGTCGGGACAGTCTGCGTGGCCGTCGCAGCGCCACGTGTGTGGGATGCAGGTATCTCCCAGCGTGCAACGCAGCTCTCCTGCTGGGCAGCGCCTGCGGCTGCAGTTGTAAAAATTCTTGTCAGGGCCGCCAGGGCAATCACTGATGTTGTCACAGGAGCAGGGTAGGCCAGTGGGTGGTGGGCACTGTCCGTTCTGGGTACACGGCTTGATCCCTGGAGTACAGGGTAGGTCAGGTCCTAAATGCCCACCCAAGAAGGCCCAAGTACTCCGTGCACCCAGTCCCCTGCAAGCCCCACCTTCTACGCAACAGCTGAATCTGTAAGGTCCCGCCTTCTGTCCCTTTTAGCTCCATCTTCCAAGGTCTGGCGACCCTGCAAGCTCCTCCCCCTCGAGACCCCACTAGCTCTACCTCCGTACAAGCCCACCTTAGACCCCGCTTCTTAAGTTCAAGGCCCACAGGCACCCCCACTCTGCTTTCATGCCCCCCATCCCTGGGGACCCACCTTCCCCCACAAGCCCCGCCTCCACATGCCTAGCCCCGCCCCCAATCTTCCACCATCAAGCCCCGCCCCCTGCAAGCCCTGCCCCAGCGAGTGGCCACCCACTGCAGTCCTCCTCGTCGCTGCCATCTTCGCAGTCGCTGTCACCATCGCAGCGCCAGGTGAGGGGCACGCAGAAGCCATCGGTGCGGCACTGGAATTGGGTGGGCGAGCACGAGACTATGCTGAGGCCTATAAGATACGTGCAAGTAAAGCCTCGGTGGCCTGAGTCTGGACCCTCCTCTAAGAACACAGTGGTCACAGGTGTGACCACCATGACATGCCAGATACCACACTGTGGGAACTACATTGGTGGCTGTGCCTTGCTGAGTACCTATTGAGGGTGGGGTTCCGAGCACAGCAGTTCATAGTCTCACCACGAGCCCTACTGGGCAGGTGCTACTTTCTGAGGACACTAAGAAGAGGAGGCTACAGAGCTAGTGGCAGAGTCGGGGTTTGAACCCAGGTCTCACTGATCCCAGTCACTGAAAGGCTCCAAATGGCCAGATGGTCTACCCCAGACACCTCCCAGGTTGTGGCTAAACAGACTGGAGGAGGGGCCATCTCCCAACATGCCCTGGGTCAGGCTCATGGTCAAGGTCAGTAGGGCCCATTCTGTCCCACCTGCTTAACGAAGGGGAAACTGAGGCCCTGGATAGAGAACCTGCTCGGCCACCAAGCCCTATTGAATCACCTCCTAAATTTCTCCTCCATCTGACTACCTTCCCTGTCCTCAATGTGCTGCCTCCTTACCGGACCGCCAGGCCCCACCCCAATCTCCACTGGACACCAGAGACCTCTCAGAGTCACATCATCATGTCACCTACCTGCCCCTGGCTCCCAGGCCCTCCCTCACTCTTCCTCTTCAGCAAGGCCCCTTTGTCCCAGCCCCCTTGCTGCTTCCCTAAGAGGCCTGGCTCGAGTCCACCACAGGGCCTTTGCCAGGGCTCTTCTCTGGCCCCAAATCCCCTTCCCACCCTCCACTCCGCACCTCGTGATTTCCTCCTCAGCCTTCAGATCTCAGCTTTCTTCCTGGGAGGGGTCTCACGCCCTCTTGGAGACCCACAAAGCTCTGCTTTCCCTGTATAACGACTTAAGCTGGTAATGCCTGCCTTCCCATAGACTGGACACTCAGTGGAGGTCAGGGCTGTGACCTCGTGACCCAAGCCCAGGGCAGTGCCTGACTGTAAGTGGACACAAGTCACGCAACTGTCCAAGCTGAGTCGAGATGAAGCTGAGCCTTCCTGGACTCTGAGCAGTTAGGCGGGGGCTGTTTGCTCATCTGGAAGGGCACAGAGGGCCCTGGAACCTGGGCCAGCGGGAGGGAGTCTGAGGCAAAGGGAAAGGGAGTGGTTTTCAGGGCTTCCTCCAAGGTGAAGCAAGGGGAGGGGTGGGGGCGGCAAACTGGCTTCGCTCCACCTCGGACTTTTTGCTATTCCACCTTCACTCACAGGCCCTGAGCCTTCAACCCTCGACTCCCTACATCCAGACCCTCCCCAGGCCTTCAGGCCCAAATGTACCTGGAAGCCACACAGTCCCTGAGTTCTGCGGAGCCTGGAAGAGCTGGGGACAATCCAGAGCCGCCTTCCTTCCTGGCCCACGGGGGTCTGGCAGCCTCCAGGTCTGACTTTCTCCCCAGGCCTAACCACCCACAGCTCTGACCTCTGACCTCCCTTCCGTGGCCAGCTGCAGTGTGTGTCCCTCTATAAAGTGAGCAGCAAAGCAGGACGGACCTTGCTGTGTAGAGCAGTGGATAGGACAGGAGTTGTGGGGAACCACAGACCTCTTCTCCCAGCCTCAGTGTACCCATCTGTAAAAGGTGTAAGCTAGGAGACCCTACCCCCGCATTCTGAGCAAAGGAGACCACTTGTGCGTAAAGAGTTTTGTACCTGGTTAATGTGAATCCTCTTTGAAAGAACCGGGAACACTCAGCCTGAAAAGTCAGGGACTCAGGGGTGAGTGGAGGGACCCGACAGGAGAGAAATGCACGGAGAAGCAGGGCACGTGTGTGAACCTGAGCTCACAGCTTAAGGTCGGGGGCACCTGTGCGCACAGGGAGGCCACTCCAGCCCGCCCAGCTGTCTCTGGAGATTTCAGAGAGGGTGCCCCTGTCCCCTGGCCTTAGGCTATGGCGAACGAGCCCAGGCAGGTACATTTCACTTGTGAACTTGGGGTCACAAGTTAAATTAAGGACCGGGAGTAGCAGGCAGGGACAACCTTTCCTTTTCTAAGGCTTTAGGAGGAAGAAGGAGACATTGGGAGAATGGAGACGGTCGCCGAAGAAACAGCCACAAGGCCTCGGGCTGAGGGTCTGGAAGGCACAGCTGCTGCGGGAGGCGGCGGGGGACCGGCCCCGCGCGGTTAGAGGTCGGTCAACCTGAGGTGCTGCGAGCCTTCCCGACACGCTGGCCTGAAGGGCGCCTTGGAGGTGATGACGGGACACGGCAGAGCAGGTGTGGGGGTGCGCACAGGGCCAGGACAAGGCAGGCAAAAGCACGCGGGGGTGCCCCGGCGGAGAGCCCCCCATGCGGGGTCCCCAGCACCTGAGCTCGGCTGCACGCACACGGAGGAGTCCACGTGCTGGGGGTGTGTCCGGGACGGACGGACGTGCGGCGCAGCCAATAACGAGGCGCTGCCGACACGCGAGGGCGGGACAGGGGCGCCGGAGGGACGGGGGAGCGCGCTGCAGAGGCGCGCGCTGCGGGGGTTCACTCACCCGGGGCCTGGGCCGAGGTCTGGCTCGGGACCGGGGTCTGGCTCGGGACCGGGGTCGGGGCGACCTCTAGGCTTAGTCCGAGGCCAAACAGCAGCCGCAGTGCTAGGCCCAGGGCCGCTGCCTGCCGCTCTCCGCTCAGCGCCATCGAACCGCTGCCCCAGCCACCCCCGCCACGGCGTCCGCCGCGCCTGGGCCCGGCTCGCTCTTATTCCTGCGCACGCGCACGCGCAGTTTGAGGGGTGGAACCCGCGCCCCTCGGTCCTGCAGCGACGGCCGCTATGTGTACCGTAAATGTCCGAATAGGAGGGGAAGAAGAATTTTAGGCCTTTCCCCACTTTTCCCAGTGACAAGGTCTATCGAAAAGTACGGAGCCGACTTGAAGCTAGAAACTTCTGGGGATGTAAACGAACTGGTGGGCGTCTATTTGCACTATTTCACGTCCCACATGCATACTGCCACAAAGTAGCTGCCTAAGAATCCTGTTCAATACGGCAGCCACTCCCCGCAGGCATTCCCCACCTCTTTCCCCGTCTGCGGCTTTTGTGCCCCCGGCATATTATATATTTTTACTTATTTTGGCATAAGGTGGAATGCCAGCTCCGGAACAGGGATTTTGCGTTGCTCATCGCCGTATCTCCAGGGACTGAGGCATAGTGCCTGACTCACGTGGGCTTTACCGTTTGGTGAACCGTGAATGAATGGAATGTCCAGTTCCTGGCGTCCTGGATCCTCTGTCCCTCCCTCCTGGATCTCATCACCCGCTCTCACTGCCTCATTTAGTTTCTCCCAGACCCCAGGGAGGTGAGTATTGTTCTGATATTCTTCAGGAAAAATGTATTCGAAGGCAGCCCTTGGCGCCTACCACAGGCTTTCTATCCGATCGCGGTGTTTTCTTCTTGAAAATAAATATTTCATCTACAGTCCTGCGTTTAGGAGAAGCGACAGGTCCGACTGCCCGCAGGACCCCAGACGAGTCACTGTCCCTCAGCGCTGAGACAGCTGTGCAAGTATTTGCCACCCACCCCGCCAAGTTTCCCGTCCAGATTTTCATAGAAAGGGTTTACTGCTTGCAAATATTAGAGGTTATAGCTCTTTGGGGAGTTTTTTGTGTGTATGTCATAATAAATCTGGCCGATTCCCAGAGAAAGTGGGTAAGAGGCAATGGAGCGCAGCTGCAGAGGCAGACGGAGAGCGAGGCCAATACACCTACTCCCGGAGGAGGGGAGGGGAGCATCCCGCCTCTGTGGCTCAGGATCTTGGGGAAAAGGAGACTTCCGGGGTGGAGACAGAAGCAGAAGAAGCCCTGGATTCACGGAGCTGGATCTACTGGAGTGAGCAGGACTGAAGCCATGTCGGGACCTAAAAACGCCTGGGGTCTAAAAGATTTTAAGAGGACACAGTTTTTTTTTCTTGGCATGCACTCTGTTCCCTCTTTTCCCATCGTTATTTGATATTTTGAACCTTGGTTATGGAGCAAGATGACATTACGTACATGAATGTAAAGTTCTTTTCCAGCCACCCTGGAGCTGCAAACTTGCAGACTGGCGCATACTATCCAGACCCTGGAGAACCAAGGGAGACATCAATAAAGCTATGCTGAGTCCACCCCTCCAAGGACGGAAGCAGCAGACAGAGCCTTGGCAAGACCTTGCACAGACTCCCCACAGCTCACATCTCCCTCTCTCCTGCTTTTCATTTCCCATGTACCATTCCCTTAGTCCCCTCTTTAAAAACCTCCTCAGTAAATCTGAGTCTTGGAGATGGCTTTAGTCTGGCCATTTCTCCTCGGGTTTACCTCTCCTCAGGTCACTGGTATTCCTGAATAAAAGCTGACTTTCATTTTCACCAACATTTGACTTTTGAGTGGTTTGCTGTTGAAAGGGGACAGGCAGCCAGACCTACACTCTGTAACAGGCCAAGCTAAGCCAGGAGTTGAGTGTCCTGGGTGGCCTAGCCCCCCCACCCACTTTTGTGGGAGCGAGGCCATGCCCACCTCTGGGTGCCAGCTGCTTGTGGTAGGCAAGCTCCGTCGCTGGGATTTTGGGGATTTTCCCTGATCAACAGTGGTATAACCACAGATTCCCTGCCTTTTGGTTGGTAAAGCAAAGCAGGTTAGTGAGTGCTTTGAAGAGCTCCGAGCTGGTAAGTCCCTCCAGGAGTCCTCTTTCTACACCATTTGTTTGTTAAAGGTACTATTTGGGTGTGACAAGTGAATGACTCAAGGACATATATAAAAGCCAGCATTTTGTCTGGGAGAACTCAGCTGTTGGTGTTTGAGTAACTACGTTTGTGCATTTTGGCCATTGAATGACCAAAGAGAAAAAAAAAAACTTTTTTCCCTGAGTTTCTCTAGGCAAGCTTGAGAAGCAGAAAAGTTATAATTGGCTAAATCTCTGGACAGAATTTGTCTATTTATACACACAGTTCTGCAAGTGTTAAAAACTCATGGCCCGGCCCGGTGGCTCAGGAGAGTGCGGTGCTGATAACACTAAGGCCACAGGTTCGGATCCCATATAGGCGTTAGCTCACTCGGGAGAGCGTGGTGCTGACAACAACAAGTCAAGGGTTAAGATCCCCTTACCGGTCATCTTAAAAAAACAAAACAAAACAAAAAAAAACTTATAGTAACTTGGTAAAATATACTTTATGAGCAAAGATGGAAGTGTTCGCTTTTTTTCCGTTTGATTCCTCTAAAATTTGAAAATTTAGTAGCTTTATGATTTTTATGGCAATATGGTTATTTGCATAAGCTCAATGAGAATTTGCTCTCTTTATAACAGGATACAATTGGAAAGATAGGTTGTAAAACAGCACGTCTCTTCTAAGTTCCTGACCCCACTTCATGTTGCCCTAATTTGACCTAACTGCATTCCATCTTCCCCCCTGACATGGGACATCAGTACCTGGGAAAAAACTGTCCCACAGTCTGCCTAGGAATGAGACTTTCCAGCACTGAGGGATCAATACAAAGAAAAGTAAGAGCTTTTCAATCAGGAAATTGATCATCAATGCTTTCATGAGGAGTATTTTGATCAAAAAGGGGGAAACGATGTCTTGTCTCCACAGGCAGTTAACTAAAAGTATTCACAGCTTTGAAAGGGGTGGCTCATGACTTGGGTGAGACATCCTGTTCCCAAATAAAGAATTCATGTAAGTTCTTAAAATTGTTGATATAGCATTTAATGTATAGCTTGCTAACTCTGAGTAAGCCACCTGTTGTCAGTCAACTGTTAAGACAATAAACAAAAGCCCTTGCTTCCTCCAGCACTCCAGCAGGGTACCAAAAGCTATGTCCTCCATCCTGTCAAATAGTTCCATTCCAGATTAACCCTTCCTATGCTCTGTCTCAGCTCAAAGCAGTAAGATGAGTCATCTCTCCTGTTCCATACAAATGGAAGGAACTATTGACAGTGGGGAAGATGTTGAAATGAACAGGACTGAAGCCATGTTGGGACCTAAAACCACTGCCTGGGCTCTAAAAGATTTAGGACACAGTTTTTTTCTTAGCATGCATTTCTCCCAGTCCCCTCTTTTCTCATGGTTATTTGATATTTTGAACCTTGGTTATGGGGCAAGATGACATTTACATAAATGTAAAGTTGTTTTCCAGCCACCCTGGAGCTGCAAATATGCAGACTGGGATGTACTATCCAGACCTTGGGGAGCCAAGGAAAGACATCAGTAAAGCTGTGCTGAGTCCTCCCCTCCTGCAGGACCCTGAGACAACATCAAGGACAGGAGCAGAGACCAGATGGAGCCATGGCAAGACCTTGCACCTGGCTCCTTGCACGGAGATCCCAAAGCTCCCAAAGCTCCCCTTCCCTCCCCCCTGCTTTTCATTTCCCACGTTCCATTCCCTCGGCCTCCTCTTTTAAAACCCTT